GTTCCCCTCGCATATATGTGCTAATTGTTCTGGACTCTAGGGGGTGGTGTTCATCTCCATTTCAAAGCCGAAGAGCCAATGCTGTCCAAAGACATCTCCATGGTCATGTGGCCAGCATGAGTAAACACCAAAGGCGCATGGAACGCTGTTACCTTTCCACCAAAAGTGGTTCCAATTTTTCTACTTGCATTTTTAAATGCTTTTGAACTGCTAAGTTGGCAGAAACTGGGACAAGTAAGGAGAGCTTACTCCGTTATGGGGCAGTAGGGATTCGAACCACAAAACTGCCGACTTTTCTGATCAACAAGCTCAGTGTCTTAGCCACTGAGCCACTGCATCCCTCCACTATCATAGATAGGCAATTCAAAAATGTGGAAAATAAATTTAAAAACCCATAAATTTAACTATTCCGTCTGAACTGCATCACCTCACTTTTCAATAATAATTTTCAAGCCTGCTAGGAGAAGGCCCTTATACCAGTGATAATGAACCTTTTAGGCACAGAATGTCCAAACCGGAAAGCACACCAGAAACCGAATGACCAGCTGGCCAGTGGGCACGCGTGCCATAGGTTCACCATCACGGTCTTATACATACAATGACATATGGTGACCTCTTTCCAGATATGTATATTAAATAGGGATTGGGTCACAAAACGTGCAGCAAGATTCCTCCTGGATGCAGAGCTGCAGTTCAATCTAGGCCAGTGATCCAGTTTCTGTAGAACTGCAATCACATTTGATGGGAGGATCGTGACATCTTACCGTTACACAGTGAATACCGATGAGCCTTCACGGAGATGCTGCAACACTTTTTTTTCCTGTGCTGCCACAAGGCATGTATGTCTCATGAAATTCCTGTCACTAGTTATGTGTGTTCTTGCAGAACAGGAGAGGTTGAAATGATTGGTTTTACGCTGCCGATGTTATTGGCGTTTATGCCAAATTTAATCTTTCCCTTTAAAAAAATAATAATACCAGTGCTGTCAGGTGGCCATTATGTTTGTATACTGTTTTTTTGTTCCCGGCTTTTAGCTGCGATAAAGTTTTGATTTGATTTTGCCAGGTTGTTGGATGGAGGAATGCACATGGTGTATATAGCAGCCGTAATTTTAGGAGCTTTAGCCTCAGTACTGTTCACAGGATAACTTCCGTTTTAAATGACCTATTTGGTTAATTAATCAATGCTATTAACTTGGATAAATTAAAAAGCTGTCTCTGATTGTCTACTAAAAGAAGAAAAATGCAACAAGAGCGGAGTCAAGAAAAGTGTCTCAGCCATGTTTGTAAGCATTGTCAAAAAGCCTTCTGAACTCTAGGCTCTCACAATAGTTAGTGCCAGGAGCAAATGCAGAAATTGAGTTCAAAGCACTAAATGTTTATTCCATGTTACCTATACACAAGAATCTGATATACTAACAATCAAGTCAAATTTGCACTAGGTCAATGGAAATCATGGGGTGGGGGCTGCACTTAGGTCTCTTGTGGCTGTGTAAGGATTCCAAACTGATGATACATTTGACCCTGACTTTGGGCTCCACTTAGTCATCTCCTACAATTGGTAGTATTATGTATTGTACGATTCTACCTTGCTTCCAAGAGGCCCTCTAACCCTTCATCTTCCCTTTCAATTTATTCAAAAATCACTTTAAAAAACCCCAAAGTCCAGATAGGATAGGAACTTTGTTAAATTCCAAAGAAGGCATCCTGAGGCATTTTGATGGCTGTGGGCAGCAGGCCGTCCAAGTTATATAGTATTCCTGAGCAGTACTTTAGGTTTCTAAGAGCCATGGTGATGCAGTAGTTAAGAGTGCAGTACTGCAGGCTAAGTCTGCTGACAGTTGCCTGCAATTTGGCAGATCAACTCAGCCTTCTATCCTTCCTAGATGGGTAAAATGAGGACCCAAAATTGCTGAGGACAACATGCTGACTCTGTAAACTGCTAAGAGAGGGCTGGAAAGCACTGTGAAGCGGTATGTAAGTCTAGGTGCTATTGCTATTGCACCCAGAAAGCAGCTACATATTAAAAGAAGAAAACACTGCCTTGAGCATAAACAAATTGTTCCCTGACTGAAAATCTATCCTACACACAGTCTTAGTTCCCCTTCTCCCTGGATTGGACAAGGAAGGAAAGGTTTTTGAATGTCACAGTACACAAGGTGGGTAGGGTATCCATTCATCTCATCTATTACAATTTTGGGGGGAAATCCTCCTTTTCACAGGTGTACTTTAGAGGGAAAAGAATTCCCCTGGCAGCCACACGAGGAAGCAGCCTTTTTAGATACTATCACAATGTTCCAGGTGGATAAAGTGCCTCATAACAATTAGTTTAAGAAAAAATCTTACAAAAACATCTTATTAGGATAAGTTGTCCCTCCTCCCCATTATTGCCACAAAAAGAGGGAGAGTGGGGTTGCAACAGAGAGGAAAGAAGATGTGGTCCAAAAATGTAATTACTGCATTCAATTCTGACAAAGGGACAAATCATGCAAAGCTTTATTAAAGACTGCGGCATACAATTGGTTATCAGGACTGATCTGGTGCTAGAATTCTCCAAGGCGAGATGGGGGAAGGTCCACAGGCTGAAATGGTCTTTAGAAACAGCAAATCCACTCTACTGAAACACAACGTGTTAGGCAGTCTTACCCACAAACCTTTCTGCAAATGGGTGGCCAAGAATGAGAATCGGTTTTCCTGCTGTGCTGATTTAGCCATTAAAAAAACTTGGGGCAAAGAAAATGTTCACTGTTTGTGAGAGATTAATTAGAAACTGGGATAATGTAGTAATGATACTCTTTCAGGTAGCAACAGGAGATAGGAAAGGAATGGGAAGAATAGGAATATGATAGAATAGAAAACAGGAGAGAATAGAATAGAACAGAACAGAACAGAACGGAATAGAAATATTTATTGGCCAAGTGTGATTGTCTTTGGTGCATATGCTCTCATTGTACATAAAAAGACAAGATACATTCATCAAGAATCATGGTACAACACTTAATAATAGTCATAGGGTACAAATAAGCAATCAGGAAACAATATCAATATAAATCATAAGGACAAGCAACAAAGTTACATTCCTGCAGTCATAAGTGGGAGGAGATGGGTGATAGAAACGAGAAGACTAATAGTAATAGTAATACAGTAATGTAGTGAATAGTTTGACAGTGGTGAGGGAATTATTTGTTTAGCAGAGTGATGGTATTTGGGAAAAACTGTTCTAGTGTCTGCCTAGTTGTCTTGGTGTGCAGTGCTCTATGGCGTCGTTTTGAGGGTAGGAGTTGAAACAATTTATTTCCAGGATGCGAGGAGTCTGTAAATATTTTCACGGCCCTCTTTTTGACTCGTGCAGTGTATAGGGCCTCAATGGAAGGCAGGTTGGTAGTAATTGTTTTTTCTGCAGTTCTAATTATCTTCTGAAGTTTGTCTCTGTCTAGTTGGGTTGCAGAACCAAACCTGAACCAATTCCTCTGTAGAACTGTATCAGCAGCCCCTTGGGCAGTTTGAGCTTCCTGAGTTGGTGCAGAAAGAATAGAATAGAACAGAATAGACAACAGCAGAGAATGGAATAGAATGGAATAAATACTTGGCCAAGTATGATTAGACACCCAAGAAATTTGTCTCTAGTGCATAAGCTCAAAATTGTTCTTCTAATTCTAAAATTAATCCTTTTTGAACACTAGAATGGCTAGTGCATGGCAATTATGCTTAAACTCCTAAATTGGAGTCGTTCCAAATCAATCAACCACCACCTACATCCTGATTTTCTTACCTCCTGCTGTTGAAGAACAGTTTTATGAAGCCTCTGCTTCCAGAGAGGTCTTAGAACAGAGGACTACTGTACTTCCTTTCTTTCATCATCATACTAAGCAAAGCAAGAAGTGAGAAACTCCTCCTTTGTTCTATCTCCCTCTGTTGGCAAGGGGGTTTCTCAACAGTTCTCATGAGAACTGCTCTATTTTACACACCAAGATCATAGTAGAAAGATAGATAAACTATCTCCACCAGCCTCCCTTAGCACATGGTTACATGTAAGAAGCTCCAGTCTCTTCATATTTCCCACTTGTTCCTTTTATTGTTTAAATATGTTGTTCCACTTCAAATAATACAGATGCAAAACAAACTACCAGCCCTTAATATCCTCATTGTTGTTGACATTTTGCAACAACAGCAGGAGCTCTTGCTCCAGAATATTATCATTGTAATGAGAAGCCTGCTTTGCTTCTGGATGACCCACCTGAAAGGTCTTTGATCTGGAACTGAAATAGGCCAAATGAGAAGGTTGAGGATTGGCGCCTTTTCAAAAGTACATTGTATTTTGTATCTCTTTTTTATTTTTTAGCTGTAGAATCTTGCAATAGAATCATGGAGAAACACCAGAAGACTCCAACTGGGACCATTAAAAAAAACATAGCTTTGGCAGAGGAAGATGTCAGGTTAGAAGACATCTTCTAAAAAGAAACTTGTGTCATAAACTTTATCAGCTGGGCTGTGCAGTGCTTCAGATCTAAAAAAGTGCTTCACAGCCCAAAGTGAAAGAAATGTAACATCTACCCACTATAGAAGCAGTTGCGTCTTAGATGAACAACTGCATCTTTTCCCAGGATGACACAACTATCTGCAGCTGCCAGAAAAGACAATATTTCCACCCACCCAACCAATATGTTCTGAAGCCGAAGCCTTTTTGGCTTTTGGATCCAAAGCTTTTCACAACTCTATTCATCAGTATTTGCCTGATGAAAGGGTTAGCGTTACAAAAACAAATCAATACATAAAAGCTACATCAGAGAATAAACAGCAGAGAAAACACAGAGGCAACAATGTTTTTTGAATTGTTTATAGACATGGAAAATGTGGAAGCATCATAAATTTGTATTAGGATCCACAAACACGTCAAATACTTCTATTTTCAACTCACTTCTTTATAAGCATTGTTAAGAACAATGTGGCTTATTGCATTAGAATTTTATTGTAGTCATTTTAGCCATGTAAAATAATCATCTAGGGAAAGCAAGGAAATGGCATGGAGCTAAAACAAACTACCATAAACCCAAAAAGAACCAAAGGCTCGTTTAACAATTTTTCTTTCCATTTAGCATTGAATTTGAAACTTCAAACTGCCAAATACTTAAAAGAATGACACATCTGGGTAAAATACAAATATATTGTAATATAGTCTATAGTCTAGAATATAAGAGCCTTTTGCATAAATTTGATCTAAGTTTAATAAAATAATTCTTTATCGGCATGGCTTTTTTGTCCACTGCAGAAAATCCCATTAAAGTAAAAAGCAAATTCTCACGCTGAATCATTTTATATCCTGGTTAGAAATGTAGCCCCAGGAACTATGTTTTTCTTTTCACACAGTGACTTAAATCTGAACTGTCTCCATTCACAAATACAGAACCCTGAATGCTACAGAAAAAACGAAAAGATTTTGCACAATATCTGCAGTCATTCAAATATAAGAAAAAGGTTTCTTTGAACTTGTCTTTGGAAACCTGAAGGCAGAAAAAAATTCCCATCTGTCGTTAGAGTCTTTTGGCCTTCTTAATCTTCTTCACTAGAAATATAATGATCTGCATAACTGAAAGCTGGAAAATTAATGGCTAATTCGCTCCATTTTTTGTATAGTTTCTTTGGTTTCTTATCTTTGAAATGCACCACAAAATTTTTGATTTTTAAGCAAGGAAGATCTAGACATTTGTATACCATCATAGTTCCCCAAATCTGGAAAAAAAAGGTGAGAAAATTATATTAGGACTATACCAATACAAGAATCTGATGTTGTTGAACTCCCATTCCCAGCCATTATCATAATCCAAAGTGATTGGATTATGTCTTTGGGAGAAGTGGCTCAGCAATATTTGGAGTATCCAACCCAGGATTAAGCCAAAGATACCCAAATTAATCAATTCCGACACTCACCTGGCCACAATCTCTACAGATAATGTCCCCATTTGTTTGATAATCTGCTTTTTTTGCTTGCAGTGTCTTATTTTCCTTTACGATATAAAGGTCTCTGAAGTAAAAAATGCAACAATTTACTTTTTTTTTTAAAAAGGAAGACGTTATGACTAGTTTTTTTATATAGGCAGGAAGGAGTTCATCTCACCAGATAAGCATCATTGACACTTCCTGTAGCTTCAACCCTATCTGCTGGATGAGTCATCAAGTCTACAGACCAGAAATCCCCACACTTTTGCAAGTGTGGTATTTAGCTTTGTTGTGAACTAGTCGGATGTAGATATAAAAGGGAGCAGGTTCACTAATCAGATGTAGGTATAAAAGAGCGCTATGAAAAATAAATGAACTGGCTGAGGGGGGCAATGATGTTCAATACATTTCCTAAATCAAAGCACTGGATTCAGAGGTGGATTCTGGCTGTCATTACTGCCAATTTGCTCATGAGCGCGCTCACATGCAATGGAATTCAATTCACAATTCAATGGAAATTGTTCTGCACATGCGCATAACTCCCAAAAAAAGATGTTGTCAGCAACGGTGGTGACTGGGGAACCAGTTCGGTGATATGGCCAGCCTGGGTCGCTGCTGGTTCTGCAACCCAGGACGGCATGCGACTACCGGTTTGGTGGAATTGGGCCGAACCGGTAGGAACAGTGGTGGGTTCCTACCGGTTCAGCCAAGTAGGTAGTAACTCGGCTGGCCACCCCCCCCCAAACCGGTTCTATTGATGGCACCATAGACACCGCCATTGTTTTTTTGCTTCTGCGTGTGTGCAGAAGCAATTTTTTTACTACTGTGCATGTGCGCGTAGCACGCATCAAGCATACACGCACCCAAAGCATATCCCTGAGCGAACCAGCAATAACAGAAGCTGGAATCCGCCCCTGGGTAGGAACCCACCTCTAACTGGATTACAACACAAGCCCACATTTATAGTTCTTGTGTTTGGAATATCTACTGCTACTAATCTGTTGTTGGTATCTCTTCCTACTCAAAGCAGGCAGGCTGACTAGTAGATCAAAGAGACTTCATATTCTTGTTTCACAAATTGACAATTGATCAATGATCACATGAGCAGCTCTGGCAGCAACTGAGATTTGCTTGTTTTCGGTTAAGCTATTGGTATACAGTAACTCTACCAAGGGATTTACCCGTAAACACCATTCTTGGTTTTCCCTGCTTTGATGGCGGGTTCCCCTGCCCTCTTACTTCTTTATTGGCTGGACTCCTGAACAGCATATATTGTTCCAGTCCGTCAGATAAAGGGTGGCCTTTTAGTATATTGGGTACATTGCCAAATCATTAAGCCAAATCAATTTCTGCCCCCCTCTGACTCACACAAAAAGACCCAGAAGCAGGAGACTCTCTGTAGCAACACAAACTCATTGCATGTATCCAGCCCAAGGGTCCTAGTTTGAGGACCCCTGATTTAGTGCAATATAAAAAATGCAAATAATTTTTCTGAGGACCGCCAAAGTTTTCTCATGAACCACCAGTGGTCCACGGAACACTAGTTGGTGACCGTTGGACTAGAAGACCTCCATGGTTCCTTCTGATGTCCTATGTTCTGTGGTCAATCAGAACAAGACCCCTTGATGGAAACACAAACAGATACACACAGACACACACACACAGAGGTGGACTTACGCAAATTCCTTTTTAACATTGACATGATGCATATTTAAAATAACTTGAATGTCATCTCCTGAGCATTTTTGATTGTTGCAGTTTTTGCAGTGGAACATGATCAGGGAGGGGTTCTCCTTGTATTGTTTAAACTGTTCTTTCTTTGCCTTAATTTTCATCTCCATGCAGCTTTGCAGCTGAAGCTCTTTGATCTAGCAAAGGAATGAATGGAATCAGGAAATAACTCCCAACTAAAATTTCATATCGTCCAGGAAAATTCATGTTGGATTATTTTAAATTTGGAATAAATTTAAAAAAACTTCACTTTTTCAGGCCTTAAAGTAATTGCCTGAATACTGAATGTCCTTATTACATTACAATTATCGATCATCCTTGTTTAATGACCCTAACTGTGCCAGTAAGTGAAGCAGTGGCTAAATGGAAAATCATGTGACTGTAAGTGTGCTTTCCAGCCAAGAAGAGACAAGACTACTTAGTTTCACATCTTTGGCTTTTTATTTTTATTGCCTCCTAACCAGTTCCTTGTCTTTTGGAATGCTCAAGTGCCTACTCACTGTCTTCTACACATGAAAAGCAATGCAATCATGCCACCATGTGCCATGCAAACAATGGACAGTACTCTCTTGAAATGTCTTTCTCTCCACTATCTCCACTCTGTGACAGGGTGGGAGAAATCAAGTGGTTTCCCCAGGCAGTGTCTCCTTTGTGAGCATGATCACATTGCTTTTCATGTGCAGAAGAGATCTCTCTGCTTTGCAGGGGAAGGGAGGGGATAAGAGTTACCGTGTTTCCCCAAAATTACGACATGTCCTGATAATAAGGTCATGCCGCATTTTTCTGGTGGGCAAAAATATAAGCCCTCTCCTGCAAATAAGCCCCCTGGACACACACACCCCCACCTCTGGCCAGGCAGAGTGCAGCTCACCAACTTAGCGGTATCCTGAAGGTGCCAAGCCGCGGGACCCTGGGGGGAGGCAAAGGTGATCGCATTGCTTAATGTCTTTGGGATACCGCTAGGTTGGTGAAGCGGCTCTGTGCCCAGCTGAAGAGGGGGCTTGCCAGACGGCTGCTCTCTTGCGAGCGGGCTCCCAAAGAGTCAGGCACAGACCTCATGGGCGAATGGCTGTGTTGCGGTGTCGCAGCAGCGCAACACAGCAGCCATGAAGCGACCACACTCATGAGCAGCCACTTGACAAATCCCCTTTCCAGCCGGACAAAGCACCATTCACTGACCTATGGGTAGCGCTAAGCCACGTGAGCGCCTGTTCGCGACCGCCCGGCTCCCGCGGCTTGGCACTTTCGAAATGGCAGTGAATGGTGTTCTGCACAGCTGGAGAGGGGTACTGCATGAGTGGCTGTTCCGCTCTCACTTGTGCACCTCCCAGCCTCACGAAGCCCTGGCCCAGCTCTCTCCGCAGAGCCAGGGGACCTTTGCTGCCACCACCGCCGCATGGCTTTTTCTCCGGCTTCCAAACCGAGTCTTCTGGCAGTGGCTGCTCTGGGCATACACTCTATGGTTGTACACTCTGCCGGAATCTGGCCCAAAACCATAGAGCGTACGCCCAGAGCGGCCACTGCCGGAAGTCTCGGTTTGGAAGCCACAGAAAAAGCCACGTGGAGATCCCCTGGCTCGTGCAACCCCTCTCTCCAGCCATGCAGAGCATCATTCACTGGCATTTCGAAGGCGCCAAGCCCCAGGAGCTGAGTGGCGGTGAACAGGCGCTTACACGACTTGGCAATACCCCTAGATCAGTGAATGGTGCTGTGTCCAGCTGGAAAGGCAGTTTGTCGGGTGGCTGATCATGAGTATGGTCACTTCATTACTGCTGTGTTGCGCTGCTGCGACAGCGCAACACAGCAGTAATGAAGTGACCATACTCATGATCAGCCACCCGACAAACTGCCTTTCCAGCTGGACACAGCACCATTCACTGATCTAGGGGTATTGCCAAGTCGTGTAAGCGCCTGTTCACCGCCACTCAGCTCCTGGGGCTTGGCGCCTTCGAAATGCCAGTGAATGATGCT